CAGGGGCACAGCAGTAATTTGTAATTACCTGTGAAAAGCTAAACTTTACAAAAGCAGTTTTGTTTATTTTCTTCATTAGGTTATATTATATTTGACAAAAAATCTTTTCATAAACCTATGCAGAACAGCTTATCTGCATTTGACATATATTTACAACTTAAAATTAATAAATACTCCATAACTTGTACATTTTTAAGAATCTTAAACAATTTGATTTCTCATTCTTATTTAAATAGACAAACATGTATAATGTATTTCATTATTATTATTAAAGTTTTAGTAATACAAATTACAATTTTGATTGAATTCTAAAATTTAAGTTCTCAAATAGTGGAAATAAAAGCATTGCTGACTCAAGTATTGAATAAATTTACCAGCAAACATTTAATTAGCTGGTAAATTTATTCAGTGTTTGAGTCAGTTTCAATGTTTCATACTTTCTTTTATTATGATCTTTCCAAATGAATTGTTTTTGTGGGTGTTTAATATTGTTGGTTTCAGATACATGCATAAATAGTTTAGATATTCATATAAAAGAAATTTATAAAAATAATATGCTCCTAAAAATTTTGATTAACACATGAGAAAGTTTTGCAACAGATTTTACAAGGTTGCTCACACCTGAACTAGACAGTTTCTTTTGTCATCTATACTAGATACTTATATAATATTTTTTAAAGCCTCTCATAGCTGTAATAGAAATAAAGTTATTAATATTGTGGGTCAAAGTAAGATATTAGATTAGTTATCATATAACATAATCGTATAAAGAAACTGCTTAAGGTTATCAAATTGTTTAATACAAAATTGTTTTAGTCTTAGTTTTGGCCATTCTTAGTGTATTATCTTAATTAAGCAATTTTTGTTTATTGAACAGTAGTGATGAATTTAGCATATTTTCATGAAAAATAATTAAGAATTATATTGAAAATTTTTGTATATAATAGTTGCAATCAGTTGTTTACTGTTTTTTTATTAAGCTTCAGATGCATAAATTTTTTTTTCTCTACAAAAAATATATTTGAAAGTATTTCTGAAAATTATTTCATTTTTGAAGATTAATTCATTACAATACTAAATAGTTATTTGTTGATTTAAGTGACTATAAGTTATAATAGATTAGAAAATAACTTTTTTTTTATTGCAGCTTAAGATTTCAAAAGTCAGATACAGGTATCTCTCATGTAACACTGTAGTTACATTCCGAAAAAGTGCTGTGTTATACGAATCTGTGCTATATGAAACAAAGAACTAATACAAAACATGGGTTAGGTTACAAAAATTAGCAAAAGTATACTATTCTTTTCCATTGCTAAAAGAAGTATGTTTATTAATTAAAGCAATCAATAATTAATTAGTAATACAATACTTTTAATTGTGATTTATGTTTACACTCATTTAACTAAAATTAATATTATTTTCTTTTTATAAAGTATCATCATCTGAGCTTTTTTGTAGATGAT